CTTGTTCTTTTATTTCTAACACTGTCTTCTCTCACAAGGGAAACCACAAAACTCACTCATTAACTTGCAAGCAGCCAGCCTATCTTTTTAAAGTACACTTTATATTTTCCTAAATTTTGAATTTCACTTTGATGGGATATTTCTAATTCATCGCTAAGTACAACATAAACTAACACACACCCTAAGTACAGGAACCAGTACTCAATTATTATCATCACAAACAGTTGAAGCTTAGCACACTAAGGAGAGCAACCTGACAACTTTACCCCAGGGAATAAGTAGCATGGTATAGCAACAAAGAAACAGCACACGGAAAGGAACATGGGTTGAGATGAGGCCAGAGTTGAAATACCATTTCGCTCATTTCACAACTGCATATTAGTCAAACAAAATTAACTGGGCTTCAGTCGGGCGGTGGTGGCGCATGCCTTTAATCCCAGCACTCGGGAGGCAGAGGCAGGCGGATCTCTGTGAGTCCCAGGCCCTGCTGGACCGACAGCCTCCAAAACGATACAGAGAAACCCTGTCTCGTAAAACCAAAAAAAAAATTTTTAACTGGGCTTCTACCTCCTCACCAACATATAATACCTCCTGCTTCCCAAAGCCATTAAATGAGGCAATGTATATGTGCTTTAGAATGATGCCTTGGAAGTTAACTTACTCAAAACTCCTATTAACACCATCTCTAGAATTCCCAGCTCAGAACTCATACCAAGCTATTTCATGTGGTATAACTACCAAAATAAGCTTCACTTGTCCAAATAACCTTTGCTACAGAAATGAAGCTGTGGGCTGCCTTCCTAAAAATCATTTGCAAGAAGTTAACTCAGCTTCTGGAGAACATCCACCCAAGTTGTGACACATGAAATAATACCTTCAAGGTTGGTCTTCAGAACTGTTCATCTTTTTTTCTCCTGAAACAGGATTTTTCATTGTCCTGGAACTCAAATAGGCTAAATTGTCTGGTCAGCAAGCTACTGGGAACCACCTGTTTCCACTTCTCTTGAAATGGAATTATGAATACATCATATCTGACTTTTTTTTTTTACGTGGATGTGTGGCTCAAACACATGTTGTCATGCTTGTGGGGGCAAACATTTTACCATATGAGCTGCCTCCTCTGCTCCTAAATAATACATTTTTAAAGAATGACATATGAAGGTTGGGACTACAGCTCAGGAATGGAGCACTGGCCTTGCTTGCAAGATACCATGTCCTCACTGCAACTCATTCTTAGTGCTAGCAACTAATGACCAAACTCCATCCAATCAGTCACTGCCCAGCTTATCTTGCAGGCTCCTCCATTCAGAGTCCCTCAGCTGTTTATTGTCTATCGCCACCTCACATGCTATTATTACTTGTCCACTGTCTCTACTCCAACTAGAATCTAAGTTCCATAAGGGCAAGCTTTGTGTACTGCTACTTTCGTGATGAATAGACTGATTATTGTAAGCCAAGGCCTTCAGGGCCTGCCATCACCTTTCTTTCTGCCCTTACTCTCATCTGTCACCTAAATACAACATGTACTTACTCCCATGGCCCCCTGATTTGCCAGAACAAACTTTCCTCACCATCCAATCAACCCACCAGAGTATCAACACTATTTTCAAACCTGCTTCAGGAAGCTTCTGACCTCAGAGAGTATGCCTCTTTCTTTCCTTTGTACTACATCCATACACTAGCACTAATTAAATTACTGGAACTTATAATCTTCCTAGATTGTGAGTTCCTAAAGACCAGGGCTTTATCGACCACCTAGGACAGATCCTGTCATAAAGAAACTTATCTGCAAATATTTACTAAATCAACATATGCATGACTATTCTGCAAGAGAAATGAAAGCATGGTCACTACTCAGCTTTGTGGTGGTGGCACACACCTTTAATTCCAGCACTCGGGAGGCAGAGGCAGGCAGATCTCTGAGAGTTTGAGGCCAGCCTGATCTACAAAGTTACACAGAGAAACCCTGTCTTGAAAAAACAAAATAATTAAAAAAAAAGAGTCACTACCCCAAACTTACAATAAGCAGTCATGAAATAAAGCAATGACCACCAATACCACCACCCAGAGTAAGGAAAGAGGAGTAGCAGAAGTCACTGAAGATCCAGTGACATCACCCAGCACAGCTGTAATCATGCCTTGCTGAGTATATACTTTGGTTCCTACTTGCTCCAAAATTTGCCTTCCCTCTAGGCTCGGTTCTTGTTGCTGCAAATGCTGAGACCCAGCTAAGGAGCAGGAAGTGGAAAGAAGACCTGGGTTTCCCAATGAACAATAATCAGGTAGAATGATCACTCTCTGAGAAAGTATCTGATGTTTCATCTAATACACGGTTTTATGTTTCCCCCAATACAAGGTAATGTGCTACGCACTGAGTCAAAAACAAGCAATTTGATTAAACTTCAGAGTAGTTCTACAAGTATAGATGTTACCACTACCAACTAACCCTGAGCTCCTCACCACTACACCCTATGCTATAAATGGGCTGCAGTTATGCCTAGGCTACCAACAAGTCTTTAACAGTCATACAAGAACTATGCCCATCCAGAACAGTTACCCTCGGCAGTAAGACATCTCATCCATTAGCTAAAGAGCACTGCTATTTCTTCTCCAAATGCCTAATGCAAAGGCCACTAAATTCAGCCCTAACAAAACCTGCCCTGCCTACTTAATTTAATAATATAAGTGCATATATAAATGTTTTATCACACTCTCATGCAAATGAGAAAATATTTATGTATATGAAGCCATTGGGGAGAAAAAAATGAAGAAACTTAACCCTGTAAAGCTAATATAACATCAGTGAAACCAGAGGTTACATGTGACTCTCAATCTTACCCACTTCTACCACCAAGTCACCAAATTCTGGAAAATGTACCTGTAGGGAGAGATCTTACTAGGTACCGATGATTTGGGCATGGTCAGCGGTACCTACTAAGATCTCTCCCTATGCGTACCTCTTCATATTTTCTAGATTCATAACCGCTGTCTTCTGACATAAGGACAGCTACAGCTATTTGTTGAGAGCTTGTGTAACAGGCAGTACACTAAGCGTTTCATCTTCCAGATGCATCTTTCTGTTTCCAAAGCAAAAATGCAAGGCAGGGATTAGTTCTTTGGTTTTTTTAACATTTTTTAATGATTTATTTATTCTTATTTTCTGTGCAATGGTGCTTTGCCTGCATGTACATGTCTGTGTGAGGGTGTCAGATCTCCTGGAACTGGAGTTACACACAGACAGTTGTGAACTGCCATGTGGGTGCTGGGAATTAAACCTAGACACTCTGGAAGAGCATCCAGTGCTCTTATTGACAGAGTCATCTCTCCAGCCTCTTTGGTATTCTTTTCTGAGTCAGGGTCTCTCTATGTGGCCCTGGCTGGCCTGGAACGTACTATGTATTTCAGGCTGGCCTCAAACTCACAGAGATCCACCTGCCTCTGCCTCCCAAGTGCTGGGATTAAAGGTATGCGCCACCAAATCCAGTTCTGTATCTTCTTAAGATGAGGGAACAAAACTCTGAGAAAGAGACTGACAGTTTACGAGTAAAAAGGCCTAATGGAATCCAAACTCCGGTCTGCTTCTGGTCATTATACAGCCAAACTAATCTTCAATTCCATTGCGCCTTTCTGAAGAGTGAATCTAATGCTTTGCACCGCATACCCTGAAACGTTTCCCCTCTCAAATCTTCATCCCTTGTCATTCTCACCTTCCACCGCATGAAACTCCCCAGTCTCTTCCTTCCTTTACCTGGACCATTCTGTTTGTCTACTGTGAACTCTGTTCCCCTCTGGTAGCTACTTTCAACACAAAGATTTACACACACACACACACACACACACACACACACACACACACACACACACAACCTGGCTCAGGAAAGTCTTTTTTTCTCCTAAGAAATACATACTCAAAACTGGGTTAATGGCCATGTGTTTCAATTATCAACTAAATTTCTTATACATTACTTTAGTGCCTTCTAGTGAACAGTGCATTTCTGAATCTCTGCATTGCTGGTACAGTGTGTATGCAGTAAGGACTTACTCGGGGTGAATTAATGAAGCAGCTGATTTGATTTGCCTTTGCCGCCTAGCCTGTCACACAGGCACCTGCTACCTTGCAGGAGCAGACTTCTTAATCTTTTTATTTCTTCATCTGTAAAATGGGAGACTACAGTACAACCCTAATAGCTTAGAAAGAAATAATGGATTTAGCACCACCTCCAGTACTTTGAAAGTACACATTAAAGTTAGCAAAATCTTTTCTCATTCTCCAAGTTCTTTCAAAGTGATCACCTCAGAAAACACCATCTTGGAACATCTTTCATCAGAGCCAGAGATTTCCTCCAAAGGTCTTAAGATTTTATAAACATTCCTCATCCAGACGCTCGTCTTTTAGCTTCTTACAGAGATCAGTAGCTAGAATAACAAACTCTTAAGCCACTAATGTTTGCAGTCTACTGCATCTTACTCATTCACCGGTTTCCTCCCTAAAGTCGGAACCCATGCCCATAAGGAAGTGGGAGCCTCCGCCACAGAAACCACTCAGCACCCTTCCCAGGAGTATCACTGGTCCCCACCCCACTTCACCCGGCACCCAGGCTTTTGAAAATTAGCAGATGATCTAGTGCAAACGTGAACCTCCTCCTCTTAGATTAAGGAAGCCCTTGCTACCCGTTCAAAGATCTTCGGAGATAGAGAACGAGTTTCTACCACCAAAACACCGAGAACCGGGATTCCTTTAAACCCTTCTCCAGACGAGGTCATGAAATGCGTTACCTTCAAAGGGACCAAAATCAGCCAACCCATCCAGCCCCTTCCGGATAGAATCCTGTGTCTGGTCCACTCTCAGTCCGCGAGCTGGTGTTCTCGCAGGGACCGGGATGCCTTCCGCCCACCGTGTCAACTCGTCGCCCACTCCGGTGCCCCGCGCTCGCTCCCTCAGCCCAGGCCGCGCGCATGTGGCCTCCCGCCGCCAGCTCCTTCCCCGGCCCGCTACTCACCGCTTCTTGGGGATGGTGCCCGACTCCGGCGCGGCGGGAGTAGCGGCGGGCGACGCCCCGGCCGCCGACGCGGCTCTCCGCGCTTTGCACTCATTGGTACTCGGAGCCTCCCGGGGCCGGCCCAGCAGATGGCCCGACAGAACCCGCAGCCGCCGGCGCGCGCGGACCGCGTCTGGGTCCCGCTCGCTCGCGCCCGCCTCGCCCGCCGCCTCCGCCATGGCTTCCGCCTTGTGCCGCCGCCCGAGGCCGCTGGGCGCGGGTGAAAGGTCACTCAGAGCGGCGCCCCGCGCGACCATTCGCTGCGGCGCATCCCGGCAGCCACTGCGGCGACTGGCGGCAGGGGCCTTGCGCCTGGAGCTTCACGGGCTCTGTCCCCGCCCACCACGGCCTGGCCCCTCCCCTCCCCGCCTCGGCCACGCCCGCCGCCGTGCCACGCCACGCCTCGACTGGGCGCACCTGCAGAGCAGGTGAGTTCCAGGGAACCCGGGATTGGCCCGAAGGGGCAGGATGAGAGCCAAACCACACAGCACTTCTGCAGCGGAACAAACCTGTGGGTGTGTGGCGCCCTGGATGTAGCCCCAGCGCCTGCAGGATTGTTTCCTGGGACTGATGCCTAGGAGCTTGTACAGTAGGCCACCGCTGGTGCTGCTAACCTGGCCGTGGAACCAGGCCCGCCTTTCCTGGTAAACCACTGTTTCTTCCTGCTAGGTCAAAACCTATAGAGTCAGTGTCTCCATCATCTCATTTCTCATCACCTACTTAGTACCTAGCACTGCGCTCAGCACTCACGGGGAAGTCAGAGGATAACTTCCAGTAGTCTCCTTCCACCATATGAGACCTGGGCATCAAACTTGGGTCGTCAAGCTTGGTGGCAAGTGCCTTTACCCACAGGGCCATATTGCCCACCCTGAGGTGTAATTTTTATACAGCCCTCAAGCTAATGGTTTTTATACTTGAAAAGGTGTAACATGCAAAAATAACCATTGAAGTGTGGTTAATATACCCAGTGAGACTCCACTGGAGGAAACGAATTTTTCCTTTGCAAGTAGGTACCAATTTCAGATAGCGTCTTTGTTAGGGGTGGAAGCCAGTGTCCACTTGGCCCTCTCAGCTACGGGACCTCTGCACGTCCCGTGTGCGCTGCCAGTCTCTGAGTTCATGTTTGAATCAGTCCTGTTGTGTCAGGAAGACACTGTTTCTTTGGAGTCATCCATCACCTCTGGCTCTTACAACTCTTCCTCCTCTTCTGTATAGAACCCTGAGCCCTGAAAGGAGGGGTTTGATGAAGACATCCTATTTGGGTAGCTCGGCATCTTTTTATACTTGATTTTCAGATGATATAAAAGCTCTAAAAGACTACAAACATCTATTTTCTGGGACTACTTAAAGTCTATTGAGTTTCCTTTGCCCTTCTGCTGACTTTTGAATTCATGGGCCCTGTTCTGGTATACACCCTCACACAACAGCAAACCCGCTCCTGCTGGGTGTGTTTAGGATTCAGTGGATGACCAAGAAAGCAGATATACATTCCTGAACATCTGATAACAGAAGAAAGAGATCCTTTGATGCGTTGTCTGTTAGAGAAGTAGTGCCTTGCTTTAAAAAAAAAATTTAGCCTCATTCTACCTTCCAGTAGCATGCTCATAATCATGACCTTTTGTCTTGTGCAATCTGAAGAAAGATGCATTCATATCTATTAGCCTGGAAAAGTCACCCGAGTAAGTGGAGGTGCCTCGGTTCAACAATTAATGGGCTAAGAGTTATTCCTAAATGATGTCCCCTGCATTTATCTATCTGGGCGTTGCTTCTATTTCTTCACATTTTACTTCCTTTATCGTCATCAAGCAAAGAAGCTGGTGACATTGCTCCAGAGAAAAATAAAAATGCTGGTTTATTTAGACTGATAAGTTATTGAGTCAAGATGCCCTACAGCCTCCAGTATAGATTATTCTTTGCTCTTGAAAGAGCATATTGATTCACCTGTGCTTCCTTGAATGAAACAGAAACTGGGCTCATCTCCTTCCTGTCATGCTTCCTTTTCCCCGGTGGTGTCATTGACATCCTGTTCTGCCAACCTCACAGTTACTTTTACTGCCTTTTGTCTTTTTACAGCTTATCTCACCAGTACTTTACTCTGTGTGCATTATTTTCCCCAAGAGAGTCTGTTTCTCATTTATCATATTCTGCCTTCATCTAATTTTTATTTTCTCTTCCTTTAGAGAGGTCAAAACTTCATGAAGACAGAAGTCACATTGTAGCCGAAACTTACACTCAATTTTTAAGGGGCTCAAAACTTTGAATCTGGGGAGAGGGACTAGAGCCACAAATGAAGATGTCTAGCTAATAATGAATGTTCGGTTGCCTCCTAGAATAGTGTAGCGGTGGTCAGTGGAGACCCCCTTATCTTCGTCCTGGTTCTTTTCCGATTCAAGGGGTATTCACAGGCATCAAAGGGTACGAACAAGGGGTATGTTTTTATCAGTCTGTGATTAACAACTTTAAACAGGGTAAAAACAGCTTGAATATTACCCAACAAGATATAAATAAAACAGGTTTGAACTCTTGTTAGCAGTAGGATACTCTCTGGGAGCCATGAAAGCTCTGAGAAGAAATGTTTTGTGATTTGTTTGGGTTTTTGTTAGATTGTTGTCTGCTTGTTTTGACATTGGGGTCTTACAATGTACCACTGGCTGGCCTACAACTCACTATCAGATGAGGATGTCCTCAAATTCATAAATCCATTTGCCTCTGCCTCTACCCAGTGTTGGAATTAAAGGCGCCTACCACCTCTCTGGGCAACCTCGGGGAATGTTACAGCTTTTGGAGCCTGAAAGCAGCTGCTGGAGTTAATTCCTGTCTGCAGCTGAAGTAGAAGTTCAGTGTCTCAGATGCTGAGGATAAATGAGACTACACCCCGCTCCCCACTTCCTGTAGCCATTGGTTGAGTCCTAGGGACTAACTGGAAAGGGCAGAAGTGTAGGGTGCAGGGGACCAGCATCTCCAGTGAGACTTGAAGGTAACCTTTCTTCTCTGCTGATTGAGCTAACTGGAATCTGGATCCTGAAGTCTTCATTCAGGCCTCTTCCCCTTAGGCCAGGTTCAGCTATAGCTGGGAACCCGGCTCTGGAATCTTCTGGCTCCTGAGATGGTTCTACTGCCTTCTATGGGTTTTAGCCTCAATTTATAGAGGACCAACTGGACGCTTTTTTTTTTTTTTTTTTTTGGTTTTTCGAGACAGGGTTTCTCTGTGGCTTTGGAGGCTGTCCTGGAACTCGCTCTGTAGACCAGGCTGGCCTCGAACTCACAGAGATCCGCCTGCCTCTGCCTCCCGAGTGCTGGGCCCAGCCAACTGGACACTTTTTGACTGAAGAGATGAAACCAATCAGGGAAGAGTTGTCAAGCCTGGTGGGAAAATAGAAGAACCCTGAGCCAACCAAAAGTTTCTCAAAGTTCACAATCGAATCTACAGGTCCCTCCCTATTTCTGCAAGGAGGAACTGATAAGAAAATTGCTGTCTGTTCCAACTTGGGTGACCTAACTTCGTTCATCTGGGGAATTTTGCTCAGATAAGGAGTTTCTTTTTTGTTTGTTTGTTTGTTTGTGGGTCTAGAAGCATCTCCTCTGCCCTCAAAGCTTGAGCCTGCCAAATATCTGAACACCTGGGGGCGTGGGGTAGGAGGAACAACACCTATCCCTAACAGTAGTACTTGCACAATGGTGGAAATGCTGTATAGCTGTTTTGTCCAATAATTGATGACTAGATTGCTGTCATCAACTCTTAAAATATGACTAGTATGACTAAAAAAAAGCTGAGGACTTAAGGGGCGTGTTTAGGTGGTTCTTCTCTGTGTTTTCTTTTGTTGAGACAGGTTCTTATGTAGCCCAGACTGACCTCAAAGTTCTGTACAGTCAAGGATGGCCTTCAGTTCTCTGTCATATACCTCCTAAAACTTGGGGTTACAGTCAGGTGTCACCAATGTCCAGCTGTGAGTTTTTACATTTCAATTAACTTAAACTTAAATGATCACGTTGTGCCTCGTGGTAACCACATGGAATAGCACAGTCACAGAAAGCTAATGTAATTGTGCCAAGAACTATGAACTGTGGGGAAGTATGTAAGGAAAACGTTTGTGTTTTTGCATAGTAACCCAATGCTGTACATGTATTTTAACCCCACAAATGCTGTGCATGGTTAGATGTGGACAAATCAATACAACTTCTGGCACGTTACAGGTTAGATAGACTTCTGTAAGCCACCTTGCTTCTAACCATTAGGAGCTCCTCTTGTATGATGTGCATTTGGAAGATGTCTTGAGAATGGTAAGAATCACGGTTGTGGTTAAAACAAACAAAAAAATCTAGCCCTACTGAAGCCCACAACCTTTCTGAGAAACCATTTCCTTACCCTAAGGGGGAAAAAAAGTTTACTACATTCTGTTGTGTTTGTGTGCTCCTGTGGCAATCAGAGGATGACTCATGGGCGTTGGTTTTCTCCTCCTACCACTTGGGTTCCAGGAATTAAACTCAGGTCTTCAGGCTTGACAGCAAGCACCTTCCCTGTTAAGCCATCATCTCCTCAGCCCAGAACCATTTCCTTTTAAACAAAGGCTCTGTGAAGGAGCTAAGATAGTTCAAAAGTTACCTGATACTGAAAACAGAGAATGAAAAAACTGCATAGTGGCTGCAAGGAAGTTCAGAAGATAATCAAAGTCGATGTTATATCTCCATCTTGAGGGTTAGTTCAGCTTTCCAGCCCACCTCCAGAGCCCCTGAAACATTTACCAAAACAGCAAAAAAATGTTTATTGTTGCTCCTAAAGCTACTGTTCTTTTCCCAGGGGAAGCCATTAGTATTTTCACTCGGACTAGGAGTAACAAAAAGGGACAAGAGGACTAGTAAATTACTGAGAACACCTGGGGTGCTTATGCTTGACATTTTAGCAACCCTGGTCTTTAAGTTTCTCAGAACCTTCCTAAATATTACTAGAGTAATGCTGAAATACCACCTATAAACTGCCTTGTCCTCAGTCATTTTCTAATGGGCTGTTTTGAGATGGCTGGAGAGAGTTCAATCTAACACTACCAGCATGCTTTAAGTAAAAATGAAGTGAATTCTTGTTCAAGTTGAAGTCTAAACCCCTCAATTTGCCAACTCTTGCCAAATTTATAAATTATTTAATATTAGTAGAGTAACACAGTCCTTATCTTGGATGATTAAAACATTGACGTAAACTAAAATTATCGGCCACTAGAAAAACCACTTAACATGTATTTGAGTATGTATACTCTAATGAAAACATATAGGTAGCCAAGCAGTTATGGAACTGCTGTGTACCTAATTCACTACAAAGGGCTGTGACATACAGATGTTTGAGCCAGCAGCTCTCCTGTATGGCACAATCATGTTTAGTTAAGAGTAAGGATCTGTGTGAAGAATAAAAAACTGTGATATTGTTGGATGCAGGTGAACTTAATGATGAGTTTCCTACCATGCTTCAAAGAGGAATGGGTTTTTCACATGAACTGTGGTCCACTAAGACGTTTCTGATACCCATGAAAAACAAAGCCTCACATTTAGGTGAACCATCTCAGTGAACACACTCTTTGGGTCCTGGGACATCCAGCCTTGATGATTATTGGAACCAAGTGAAGAGAAACCTCCGTGCACAGAAACAATGGTAGACCCCTGATATGTTAGAGTAGAACCTGTGTGCATGGCCTTTCTTCTGGTTGTAGGCACAAAAGCATTCTAGGAAGATTAACTTCTAAGATATATCCCAAATTATTTTCTGTACTTATTTTCATTACTGGTCTTCATGAATGCTCAGTAACTGTAAGCATAGAAAGAGGAGTCTGTCTGTGCCTTTTATATTGTGAAATATAATACAGAGAATAAAAGCACAAGTTATCACAAACCAAACTCCACCAATCACTGCCACATAGGTCAAGAAACATTGCCAGCCACTCAGAAAGTCTTCCTGTGAACTGTCTGCTTACTTCATCCACCTACTTTGCAAGGTAGCCACTGTCGTGAGTTTTATGATAAGCACCCCCTTGGTGTTCTTTATGATATCATTAACTGGGCATGCATCTTTTACCTGGCTTTGCTTTTCTGTAAATGCAACTGCTTAATGCTTATGTGATTGCATACATGAAAGTTCATCTCTTCTACAACTAATGGGTATGTGATGTGCTTCCAGTTTGACACTACTAGGGTTGTTGTGAATGTTCTTGTATATGCCTCTAAGAGAACATATAAATTTCCTTTAAGTACCTATCTGGGTATGGAATTGTAAGTCATAAAGTATATACACATTCAATCTCAATAGATAGTTAAATGACAGTCTGTTCCAAAGGAAGTGTACAAAAATCTGCTATCCAGTATTATGTTTGAAAGCCTCCATTGCTTTAATGGATTCCTCAGTGGTAACAATTGAGACCCCTGTCCTAGTTTGCTTCCTATTGCCGAGAAATACACTGAGGTCAAAAACAACTTGAGGAGGAGAAGGTCTATTATGTCTTACAGTTTCATCATCAAGAAAAGCCAGGGTTGAACTCAAGCAGAAACCTGGAGGCAGGAGCTAAGCTGAGGCCGTGAAAGAGCACTGCTTACTGGTTTGCCCCTGTAGCTTGCTCAGCCTGCTTTCTTACACACCCATGGGCCATCTGCCCAGAGATGGCCCCTCCCACAGTGAACTGGCCTCTCCCACATCAATCAGCAATTAAGAAAATGCTTGCCGGGATTGCCCACAGGCTAATCTGATCCAGTCATTTCCTCAACTGAGGTTACCGCTTCCCAAATGACTGCAGCTTGTGTCAAATTGACAAAAAAAAATTAAAAACTAACCAATACAAATCTCAAGTAGTTTCTATTTGTGGCCTCGTCTTCCTAACTAGCTTTCTGTACACTGTACAATAGATTAAAACTGGAAAGTATGTAGGATATTTTTCTTTGTACGTATACTAAGGAACATAAAGGTAAAATAGGGCATATTTTCCAGAGTAAACGAAGAATGCTCTTTGGTGTGTGTTTCTGTGCATCTTGTCAGTATTTTACTTACTAGAAGACAGCGGGGTTCTCACATCTGCTTCTGAATTCTATCTGTGGAAATGATGCATGGCTTGTGTCCTCTAGGAAACTTCCCTTTGTGTTCAAGAGAGAATAGGAGTTAGAAAGGCAAATAACAGCTCGTCTGATCCCCTCAAAAGGTTTCTAGAGCCCCAAAGGGTTTCCAGACCTCATCTGGAGGCTACACCTCTAAACCAGTTCCTCAGGGGTCTGCTAAGCACTCACTGAGGACGGTCTAGACAGCTGCATTCCAAAAGCAGTTAAAGAAGTAGTAAGGGAAGAATCTAATTCTCCCTGCCTTGAACATGTAACAAATTTCATGTGTTCTTTTCCATTAAAAAAAGTATATATAATGCCACTATTAATAAAGTTGTAAAAATATTTAAGGCATAATGTGTTTTGATACATGGAGTTTTTTTCAATTTCATATAATAAAATTTTGAAACTTATCCCTACACTTTAAAAATCAGATTTTGAAATCCAGTCTGTGGATAACCAGGAACATAATTGCTGTCAGTGTGACAGCTGAACTCAGTGTGACTTTTGTGATAAAAAAAGGATTTGTTACCTTGTATGATCAGACTCACTCCCACTTTATAGACTCGTAAAGTTCTTTTTATTGTTACATTTGGATCAGTGGTAAATATTTAAAAGGATCAGTTACTATAAAAGCAGTCTTTAATGCTATAGACAGCAGGGCTTAGAAATTCTTTATTCACACATCACAAATTTGACCTTCATACTTCCCAGTCCTCAGCTCTCTTCACCCAGTCATCTTTATGTGTTGTGGCCAACAGCATTCAAGTACCAAGGACTAGTGATTTTCTCAAAGACTGACCTATTACGACTTAATTCCAGTGGGAATTGTTTTCCCATTGATTAAAATCTCTTCTCAGACAAAGAGGTGAGTCAATTCATTGTGTGATAGGAGAGCTCTAACAGAATCCACAGTCCCACCAGGAGCCTGATATTGCCTGAGATGGTGGTCAAGCATTAGGCCTGAAGACTCTGAAATTCTTACTTTAAATTCAGGAGAATTTTCAGAGAAAGGAATCTGCTTGGTTCATTCCCACAAACAGCCACCTGCTCACTCTGTTTATCATTTCCAAGCTTTTCCCTCCAGAAGGAAAGAGACATTGTCTTTGCTTCCCAAAGTCTCGGGCTATGCTGTAAGAAAACTGTGAGTATATTGGGGGACACACGCCCCTCATGTCCCTATCATAGTTACCCTTAGAGAGTCTAAGACATTTCCTCTTCAGTGTTACTACAACAACCACAAACAATTAGACTCTTCAAAGCTCAGACATGAAAGCTGCTTAAATTGGTTGTTGGAAATGACCTGCGACCCACTGGTGCCATGTTCCCACTCCAGCATCTGCCACTTGAAAGGAACAAACATCTGCTTTTGAAATACATTTTTTAAGATATTGATACTCCATATGACTTGCTGCTGCTGCTGTTTTAACCAAAAATGTTTGCCGACTTCTTCCTGGTCTTGATTTCTACCGTCATTTTTAATGCCTTGTTGCTTAATTTTTTCTTCCTGTCAGAATCATCATTTTTCTTTTCTGTTTTTTAGTTTTTGCCAGTACAATGCAGGGCCCCAGAGAGCTCATAAGAAATATGAGGTGAAGGGTCAGTACATTGAACCAAGTGACAGCATCATGGGGAAAACAAAAGCCAGTGCCAGGAGGTATCTCTAGAAGCCAAAGCAGGAAACCCTGCTTTGCCTATGTCCCCAAATAGAGCCCTTCGTGGAAATGACCACAGAGAGCCAGACTGCAAGGCAAGAATATGAAAGTGGGTATTGGGAAGCCAACAAATCCTAACCTGGAGAGACTCTTATTTAATGTACTCTTTAAGGACACCGTCTGCCCTTCTGAGTACAGTCTTGAATATATTCCTTGATCTGGCATCTTTCATACAAAAACTACAGAGTTTGAAAGTGTTGACTATCATTTTTTTTTATTTTTTCGAGACAGGGCTTCTCTGTGTAACTTTATAGAACAGGCTGCTCTCAAACTCACAGAGATTCACCTGGTATTAAAGGCATGTGCCACCACCTATTACAATAACTCTTCCCGCCAGCCTGGTCCCAGTGTGACATCAGCCCCAAATAACATACAGAGACTCTATTAGTTAAAATGTTGTCCGCCAATGCCCAGGGCTTCTCATTGGCTAGTTCTGTCTTAAGTATTAACCCATAACTACTAATATATATATATATTTCTATAAGGTATTATCTTACCGAAGATGCCAGCCTTATGCGTCCTCTCTTCCTGGGATCACATGGCGACTGCTCTTTACTGCATTTCCCAGAATCCTCCTTGACTTCTAGTCCCACCTATTTTGCTTCCCTATTGGCCAACAGTGCTTTATTTACCAACCAATAAGACAAACACATACACAGAAGGACTTCCCCCATCAACCACCGCCCCACTTGAATATCAATTTTAATCTCTAGTCCAAGACAGTCAATTACCATGGCCTATCATCACACTCATTCCTTGTTTTCTTTAATTTGAATTCTGAATCTGTGGAGTGAAAAGTAAATATTCTGGTTTCCATGTATGCTGCACTAAAGAGGACAGTTGAAATTCATATTACAGAAATTTTTATTGTAATTATCTCTAATGTGCTGTTTTTATGATGAGAATATGCTTTTTTAAACTTGAACTACTAGGCTTCCTGGAGAAGCCAGCCCGCCTGAGTGACCAGGAGAGTAGACACAAGACTGGACAGTATACTAGAAGAAAATGCAAAAGCAAGGCTACTGTGGCATTGGTGTCCTCTGAGAAAGACCAAACCTAGACTCAGTTCAAACTTAGATTAAATGAATGTATTCCTACTAAGAACAGAAAGGTGGCAGCCTTAGAGCCAAACAGCATGCCAGGCCAAAGGGAGCTAAAGGAAGTGTTTTAAGTGTAGATATCAAAGGTGTATAGGTGTATATTACCATTATCTATGGAATCCACGGGTGGTCGAGAAAGTTGTTTTACTCCTCTCTGTTGTTTCTCTTTCTTGTTGTATAATAATAAAAAGGCCACTTCATCCCAGTCCCACAGCATAAAAGCAGAAAGCAAGCAGTTAAATACCTCACAGCAGGAACACCATTATCTTGCTTTTTTTGTGTGTGGGGGGGGTTGTTTTCAGTTTTCCGAGACAGGGTTTCTCAGTATAACAGTCCTGGCTGGAACTCATTCTGTAGACCAGGTTGGCCTGGAACTCATAGAGATCTATTTGCCTCTGCTTCCCAAGTCCTGGGATTGAAGAGGTATGCCACCATTGTCCAGGTCATTATCCTATTCTATCTTACCTGCAAGCCACTAGGATCTCACAGGCATTCCAGGACAAAGGTCAACAGCCCTTGAGGAATGCCTGGTACCATATTAAGTTTCTTTAGCCATCCCAGGGGAATTATGTATAAATTATTACACAGGTCTGAGCTCTCTGGGGGAAGTGTCATTAATTGACTTGGATAGAGTAGTCAAATAACACAGTGTCATCAGGTTGGGACTGTCACAAAACAAGCAACAAAAAGCAGAGATTTTGTAAAAAAAAAAAAAAAGAAAGAAAGAAAAATAGAAAAAAAAATGTCTGAGTTCATCCAAAACAATGGGCACATGAAGAGATTGCCACTATGCCAAAATCTTCAAAGGGGAATTTGTCCCTCTAGCTGAAGAGCAGGACTCCTACAGTCATGGAGAGGATCACCCCCTAAGCCAAGAAGGTTGAAGAGAAATGGAGAGAGCTGACTCTGAAGCAGGAGGAGGCAGTCTAGTAGGGACCTGTGGTGGTGAGCCCTGCCAGTGACTTCAAGGACAAATATAGCCATTTCATTGACTAAGGAGCAGCCAAAGACTAAGCCTACATGCTACAGGCCAAAACAGGTTGGCTGTGTGCCTGTGGCTAGTGAGCAGGACACACTCCATAGAGGAGGCCATGGATGAAATCTGAGCCAATGAACTCTGTGGCAGAGTGGGAAAGAGTTACCAGCTACCCCCTAGGCATCCCACCGGACTCCCTTTGACCTCCAGTAAGCTGGGGGCATGGAGGGTCAAAGATGCTGCTAACAAGACCCATCCTGGAGCCCCATTTGCAAACTGAGGTCCTCCAGCTGTCACTAAGGTTGGGGGAGAAGTGGTTGTCACATTGCAGCTTGGATGTGTGTGTGTGTGTGTGTGTGTGTGTGTGTGTGTGTGTGTGTGTGTGTAAGAGTGTAAATGTGTGGGTGGGCGTTTAATCTATATTATTCCCTTCAGTCTTTGGAACATTTTCCCCCATGGAGCTGGGGTTATTCTACATTGAATAAACACTGCTTGATCCTGGGGAGGGAGAACTCATCCATTTAACCACAGCTGAAGTTCAGAAAGGTTGCCTGTGTAGGGAAGGGTCACGGTCACAGGTTGCACCTCCTGAGAGCAGGGAACAGGTTGGTAGAAGGTGAACACCAAGAAGTTCCCACCAGAGAAGCAGAGCACCAGCTGGAAAAACATGACACCAGATGTGATGAGGACCATGGAGATGTCTGGGCATGACTGCAACCAGGGGTGCTGGAAAAGCAAAGGGAAGCCATGTGAATAAAGAGTGCTGATTCTATTTGACCCTTATAATGCACACAGTCTTCTAGAAAGTCAAGCTTTGATGGTTACCCACTGACCTACTCATTTGTCGCTCAGCTACCTTTGTAGTGGTAGGAAACAGTACCACAGGGGCTAACTATAATTTTTCTAAAGACAACACCATCATTCAGTGGGTGGGCTCAATCTGTAGATACTAAAATATCCAACATAGTGAAGATGGCAATAACGCTATCTGAAAAAGAGGTCTAATGTGTTTTATTAAATATACTTGCAAGATAAGCAGGAATAGCTCTGGAACCGTGGCTAGCTTTTATCCTCATCTATGCCCATCCCCTGTCCACGCCCCTTTGGATGTGGACAGTATTGTGGGCTCACCCCTACAGCATAGTTTTGCCCTTACTTTCCAATCCAGATTTCAGAATATAAATTTATGATGTTGCTGTGAAAGTGTTTGGAAATTAAGTTTTATCTTAGAGAAAATCATAACATACAAGTTGATGGCCAGTTATGTAACTTGCCTAAAATCCAAATGTATTTCAGCTAAATTACATTAAGACAGGTAAACTTCTCCTTCCTAACCTTCCAATAAGATTCTTAAGATTACTTTGTCCTGGGGCTAGAGAGATAGCTCAGTAGATAAAGCACTAACCATACAAGCACCAGGACCAAAGTGCATATCCTTAGACCTATGCAAAGCCTGACACAGAAGCACTCACTTGTAACCCCAGTGCTACTACAGGGAAGTGGACACAGGAGAATCACTAGAAGCTCATGGGCCAGCTACCTACATGCACAGTTATGAACAATAGGGAACACTGCCTTAAACAAGGAAGATGGCAAAGAGATGCACCAGACATCACACATAGGCCATGCATGTATGCCCACACTTACATGCATACATTCGTCATACATACTCCACATGGGTACACACACACACACACACACACACACACACACACACACACAAAGATTTCCTTGTCCTATGGAAGAATAGGATTATTTGGACTAATATACAATTAAGCTAATGTAGAAGGAAAGCATGGAACATAAGTGGTTTTGAGAATAATAAAACAAGGCTGGCCATGTTAAAGTGGGGTTATGGGTATACAAACAAGGAGATTCATATACTCACTCTTTTTGTATACATGTCAAATTTTCCATAATAAAAAATTTAAGAATTTTATTTAATGAGTAGACAAGATGGCTCAATGGGTAACCTGCCACAAAACCTAATGACCTGAGTTCAATCCCTAGGATTTTATATGATGGAAAGAGAGAACCAACTCCCACAAGTTTCTCCCTGACATCCACACCCATGCTGTGGCATGTGCATGTCCACAGACACACAATCAATCAATCAATCAATCAATCAATCAATGTATTTCGTGATTTTATTTAAAATTTCAGAATAGCCTATATTTTTATTTTTAAACCAATCTTTATTGTGAAGAATCTAGAAAAGATAACCAAGTATAAGGGAGTAAAAATGCCCCTGTGCTTGGCATTTCCCAACACTTAGATACCAAATATGCAATGGAGCCACTCCAGCAGTGTAAAGGGATCAGTATTTGTAGCTTCTAACTTTAATGCCACAGTTCCTTCCGTGTTGTAGAGAGTGACATCACTCTGTGTTTTGGTGAGAAATGAGAAAAAAATTATTTTTAAAAAAATCCCAAAGCACTGTACTGTTTAACCACTATCAGTTGTGCTGATTTCAAGGTCAGATCCAGCGGTGAACTCGGGTGAGTAGACACTTTAGAGCCGTGTCTTCACCCTATGCAGTGAAGGAACTCTGTGAGAGAACTAAGATATCTGGTCAACCGCTACCCACAGAGTTTGGTAAAATGTCTTGACAAAACACTGAGAGCAACTGACACCTGCAGAAAATCAAGAAAGGATTTCTTCATCCTAACCAGAGAGACAATATTTCATGCTTCATTGCAGTTGCGTATGTTGGCTAACTATGTCTGGGTAACAAAGCCCTGCAAAACAAGAAGCTTAGAAACAACAAAAGGATTGCCACATTGACAACCGTTTATCTAGATTCATTCCTGAGGGCGATGAACACGGGAGCGACGTAGGTGGGCGGTTCTGGCTCACAGTCTCTTAAGAAGTTGCAGCCAGGCTGTGAGCCAAGGCTTACCTGCTAGAACAGTCCACTTCCAGGTTCATTCTCAAGATTGTTAGCTGACCTCAATTCCTTGCTACAACGGCTATCCAGAGGCTGCCTGAGTGTCTTAATGACACGGCTGATGTTTTCCCATAAACTGACCAGACAGAGAGAAATGAGAGAGAAAATGCAATTAAGAGAACACCCAAATGAGAGAGTATCTGTGATCGGATTTGCATCATCTGTAATCTGGTGTGAGAAATGATGTGCCATCATCCTGCCTTATCCTGTTGATCATTACTGTCGAACATAACAACACAAGGATGTGACTACTGAGAAGTGTGGATCGCTGCGTACATTTTAGAGGCTGGCTACCTCATGTAGGATGAAAAGAAAAAGATAGCGCCCCTAAGCACTAGAGATAAGATATGTGAAAATTGATATGCAAAAGAAATATAGTTGGACTCCTATCTAGCTAGATTTTTGTTTGTTTGATTTTTAACTGAAGTCAAAGAAAGAGGGCTACACAGTGACTATTCATTATTTAAAATACTGACTTTTTTATGTTGCAGATCTCTGTGTTTAAGAACAGACCAGCACTATCAGTCATTTCAGGAGCTTAGCTGTAGAGAACAGCAGTAGCGATGGCTGCTAAGATCTGTGCTCTCCCTGCTTTTCTCAGATGGAGTTCTGTGTGCCTTGCCCAAGCTAAGCTCCTAGCTTTTAGTCCCACCCCTCTCTGCCTCGACAAAGTTGCTCTATTTCAGCTTTTTTTGCTGATTCAGAAATACGACCACCATGATCAAAGAGCTGTGGTGGTTTCTGACGGCAACAAACCTAAAATTGCGAGTTTTAGGAGGCAGAGGCAAGCAGATCTCTGTGAGTTTGAGGCCAACCTGATCTCCTGGAGTTACAGACTGTTAACAGCCATCATGTTGGTTCTGGGAATTAAATCTGGTCCTCTGGAAGAGAAACCAGTGCTATCAACCACTGAGCCATGTTTTCCAGCCCCCACTACTAGTGATTTTTGAAAGGATATTTTTAGATTTCCCACCATGCTCTGAGAATGCAAGAAATCAGCACAAAACAGATCTTCTCTTGCTTCCTACCTCAATCCGTAGCTTCTCAGTAATGGTGTGGGTGACTTCTCAGTAGTGGTGTGGGTGTGCCTTCAGAGTGGGGGACTTCACATCAGAGTGGGTGACTTCTCAGTAGTGGTGTGGGTGTGCCTTCAGAGTGGGGGACTTCACATCAGAGTGGGTGACTTCACAGTAGTGGTGTGGGTGTGCCTTCAGAGTGGTGACTTCCAGCCTGCCAAGAGAATCCCATTTACTCCTCGATGATATCCACCATGTTGTGGTAATAAAGCACAGTCTTTTGACAAATAGATAACATCCCATCAAAACAGAAACAAATCCATACTCAAGAGTAGCCTGAAACCTGGCTACCTATGCAGTCTAAAGAGCAGTCGCCAAGGCCTGAGAAGGAAGAAAAGGCTTCCCGTTACTTCCATAACAGCTATTGTGGAGATATAGCCAATGATAATTTTATTTATTGCTAAAAGAGAAATTTAATCATTTCTACAATCCATGGGATAATAAATTGATTCTGTTTAGTGGAAAGAGTTTGATGCATATGACCAGTCTTCCTGAGTCTAATAGTCACTATCAATCAAACCTCCTCCCAACAGCACCCTCGGTGGCCTACAATTCTGAATTTTTCAGAGTCCCCTTGATGTTATCAGAACATATGGAATTAGTGTCCTCAGGTGTTTTCTTCTTGTCAGGATAATTCATTGGTATCTCTTCAAGGGAGGGTTTTTGGGGGTTTGTTTCTTGTTTTGTTTTGTTCTGTTTGGGTTTGGTTTTTTTTTTTGGTACCACTTTGAAAATAAAACATTTATTCCCAGCAAAGGTAAAACATAAGTTCTTGATCCTATAAGGAAGAATTAACTAGGAACAATAGTATCCCTTTTCTGGCTCATTCCTTGCAAGTTATTATGTTTATACACCAAATTATGAAGGTTTTCTTTCTGGATTCACTTCAACAGACACTTTTTCATGGCAATGGGTCCAGCTCCTTCCTCATGTTTATTTTTGAAGAACTCCCACAGACTGGCCTGACTTTAACTACAGAGAGATGTTTGGGCTGTTGGGTTTTGGAGGTGTTGGGGAAAGGGCAGAGATAAGAAGGTGGGAAAAAAAAATCTCGTTTCATGTAAACACAATAGCAATCTCAAATACACTCACTGAGCTGTATCTCACCAAAGAATCAATGGCTGACATCAGACACTTTGCTAATAGCAAGTTTTGAAGGGCCAGGAATGGAGATACCATGAGAGCACCAGGTCCCTAAAAATAGGCATCAGGAAAGGTCAGATGGAATCATCTACATCCAGAAACCAGTTATGTGTCTTTCTGTCCGAGTCCTAGCTAAAGGCAGGCTGACCCCTGTGGCTCCCAAAGGTGCTTAAAATGAACATTTTAAAATACTCCTTCAGATTATGACTTCAAAATGCTATCATCCTGGTCGGTAAAACCCTTTACCTAACCTTTTCATTAAAAGTACCAATTATATAATTACTCAAAGTTCCAGGAAGTTTCTCTGGTACCTAAAGAAGTTTCTGTTTTTCTCTTCCAGCCCATCCTACTAGTTCCTGCTGACCGAATCCCACAGTCCTTCTCTGCACACATCACCGCTCTGTTGATGTTTTAAAAAAAAAAAAACACTCTTTCACCATTGTCTGCTGGGATTTGGCCCAAAGTACCTTTCAAGATTTATCCTGCACTACTCTAATAAAAATGGTTCATCCCAACACTCTGCTACGTAGAAAACGCCCTCCTTCATCATGCTTCCTCTTCCATGTGTCACTCCTTCCTTCTGGTATTTTTAATAATATGTCATCAGGTTCATTTGTTTGGTTCAAACACACGTGGCTCACATGGGCTTTACAGTTTATTATACTGTGTCTGCTTACGTGGATGGTTGTGTCTTCTCTATGCTATGGTAAGCTCCCAGAGAAGAGACCCTCATCTTTGTCAGCTCTTATTTCCTTGATTTTGCATGATGCCGTTCCTGTTAGAGATACTGAATGTCTATAAAAAGAGATTTAAAATACAATTTTAAATCACTTATTGTGTTTCTATGTGTGGGAGGGGTGGCATGCTATGGAAGTCAGAAAACAACTTGTGGAGGTCAGAAGACAACTTTCAGGAGTCAGTTCTCTCTTTCTGCCACGTGGGTCCCAGGGGCCAAACTCAGGTAGCCAGGCTTGGCACAAACTCCTTGACCCGCTGAGCCATAAACTAGCCAGAGGGGGAGAATGTAAGGAGGATGTACAGCTGTAAGAAAGAAGAGGAGTCATGGAGGCAAGCCAGAGGCACACTGACTTATATGCATTTTTATCTAATTTAATTCAACCTCTAGATCAATTGTTTTCAATATTGGTTATTTATTTGAATAACAAGAATTATTTTCAAATAACAAGGCCATACCTAATACCTATTACACTCAAATATCCAGAGAGTAGAACCCTAACATCAGTATACTATCATAAAAGTTTCCCCCAAGTGATCAAAAAATTGTTGCCTGAAAAGGAAGCACTGGCCTTTAATCCCAGTACTCGGGAGGCAGAGGCAGGTGGGTCTCTGTGAGTTCGAGGCCAGCCTGGTCTACAGAGTGAGTTCCAGGATAGCCTCCAAAGCTACAGAGAAACCCTGTCTCGAAAAACAAAACAAAACAAAACAAAAAAAAAAAGAAAGAAAGAAAGAAAAGAAAATGAGGAGTCTACACCAGAAAGAAGCATCAGGCGCTTTAGGAATTTATTAGAATTAGAAATTCTGCTGGGGCTGGGAAGATGGGAGATACCTTTGTTGAAGTGCTTGCCTTGACCTAAGCTCAGACCCAGACACCCATATAAGAAGGCAGGTTTGGCACACAATGTCTGCTATCTCAATGAGACAGGAGGATCCCTGGGGCCACTGGTCAGCCAGGTTAGCCAAACCAGTAAACTCTGAGTTCAGGGAGGTGATGCCTTCTCTCAAAAACAAAAGTGGAAAGCAACTGAGATCACCCAGTGGCAACATCTGACCACATATGTGCACACACACACTCACACAGAGAGGGGAGCATTATTTCTCAAGTTTCATCCCAGATCCGCGTAATCAAAATCTGTGTTCAGTCTAGATCACTTTGGCGAACATTAAAGTCTGAGAGCTGTTCTAGAATAGTAATACGTATAGGACAGGTGCCAGTACATCCTTAAGTAAAAAGAATGGAATGAATCTGATGTTTTGTGATGGCAAGAGGAAGAAGCATTGCCAAGACAAATAAAAAGTTAGAGCCATACTAAGAGAAGATAATCAAAAGAAAACTTGGTATCAGGCTGACTTACTGTTGAAGAACATGAAGGATGGTCCTTTTTTTTATAAGAACAATATAAGAGAAAAATAAATAATAACGATGTCATCTAAAGTGAATATAAGGCAAATTCCGTGGGGTAGCAGTTCTTCTAGGGAGGGCACATGTGTATGTGATTCCACTGACACAATTTTGGACACTTCCCACTCTAACCACCTCCCTTTGAAAATACAACATCCAGTTTCTCAAAGATATAAAAAAATCTTCATAACCTTTTACAATACAGCAGATTTAGCCACTGGATGATGACAACATAATTTTCTACATTTCTGGTGCATTCTCTATAAATGGTGACTAAAAGTGGTCAATCTGAATTGAGGTCCTAATTGTCTTTTTTAAGATCCTAGATGGAGAACGTGGCAACATGTTCTTGACATTTGAAGATAATGCTAAGCTAAATCTATATTAGCTTATTATTAATTGTCTATAAAGAAAAGTCAATCAATAGTCTTCATTTTAAAATGTAGGCCCAGAAAGCTGACTGCCCACACCATTTATGAACTCACACATATTCATTATTTTCATAGATGGGATCCATAGTTGAAATGAATAATTGCTATGGTTTGGACACCAGACAGTCCTAGGATGTATTTAGTAAGTCCACAAGAGCCCAGAATAAAGGGAAGTCGGGTATTTATTGGGGAATCACTCCCAACAGACAGGGAACAAGTTGAACATACCAGACAAAGGAAAGGTAACCGAACCATGTGACAGACCATAGATGAAGAGAAACAGGTTAATTAAGTTATAAGAGCCAGTTAGAAAAAAACATAAGCTGAGGCCACACCTTCATAATTAATAAGTCTCTAAGCTGTTGCTTGTGAGTTGGTGGCCCAAGGAAAGTCTAACTACAGCACGCAGCCTACACCATGAGGAGGGTCTGGCCTCTGAGGCAGCTTGTTTACATCTCAGTATGTCAGGGAACCATAAGTGCTCAGGCCAGAAGTGGGGCCAGGCAGTAATAACCCTCAAAGGGTTGTCCCCAGGAGTCCACCTCCAACAGACATGTCTCCTGCCCCAGAGGTTCCAGTCTTTCAAAATAGTACTACCAGCTGGGGACCACATGTTCAAACAGATGAGCCTGTGGGAACACTTTACATCCAATGCCAGCAAACTTCATTGCCCAGAATTATCAAAGACCATCAAATGTTTTAAAGATATGTACAATCTTTAAAACGCATTTAGTTCTGTTTGTTCTGCCTTGGCTGCAGAAGTCCTGGGTTAAACTCATCATGAGAAATCATGACCTTCTCTACATTTTCATGATTTATCATGCTCTGTGTTTAGCAAAGGTGGCCTGGGATGTATAGAGGAATTAGTCATTAACTACAGACTTTACCAAGTCAAAGGGGTCATCTCATTTCTAGGGTGTATTCTTTCCATTTATAATCAGAATTTCTGTGAAGTCTACTACTTGCACAGTACTTACTATTCTCCATATATTCTTAGATCGACTTCATGTGCAAAAATACTCAATTTCCCCAAAGTCACCAAGGCTACTACTATTCAAACCTGAAAACTTTCCATGTGTACCTATTTTCCTTCCACTTCTATCCCAGCCATCACCATGTTTTACCAGAGATGGAATCTCCTTTCCCTCATGATTTTCACTGTCACAGCCTACATCAGGTCACACCTCCTCATTCCTGCTCAATATAACCTTCTCAAGGGTCTTCCGTTTTGAATTACTCTGCACACTCCCACTAGAATCATCTTGTTAATACATCATTTATGACATTCTCTAGGCAAATCTAATTGCTCCAGATCTTAGCAATTTCTTCAAACCAAGATTACTCCTAAGTACCTATAGTTATATCTATATCCATAGCTTAACTGTCAAGTATTTTCAGACAATTCTATTCAGTTCATTTTGTCTTCCTTACAGAGAGAGTTATCTCATATTTCTTCGAATCTGCTATGCAAGATTTTTACAAGAACACCTTTCAAAGTCAAATAGTGTTCGATAGGTGCTG